AAACAGGAAAAGAAATTAACAAAGTGACCAGATGTCTTGGAAGTATAACCGATACTATAATTGATCACTATCTTCTGTTCCTAAATTAGATCAAGAAAATACATGGACTGATCATTTGATTTCAATTGCAGGCATTCTCTCATGAAAGCTTTTTGCATTGCTTTTGTGCTGACATTTTTCAGCGCCTTTGACGTGCCTGTATTCTGGCCAATTCTGCTATTCTACTGGTTGGTTCTGTTCGTATCAACCATGAAGAGACAAATAATGCATATGGTTAAATATAAATATGTCCCATTCACACTAGGGAAGCAGGTGTGTTTCTCTGTGTACTGATTAGTCATAAACTTACGATTTCCTTCTCTCTTTTTCCTTTTTCAGTTTTATTCTTGTGTTTACAATGAACACTTTCTGCTCGTCTTATTAAATATTTCCACAATTTTCTATTCAGCGTTATGGAAAAAAGGCAGCCCCAGCTGATGAGTCGAGCACTGCAAGGCCTTAAGTTCCTCAGGTAGATTTGGGCCTATAATTCTGAAGATGTACTTACGTTATATAGGGTCTACGGAATATTTTGACTGTTGTATTCTTTTAGCATTCCATGTTTTAGTCGTGCTCATCGGAACATGTAGCTCCCTAGTTTACCGTTTGGTAAAATTTAATTACCACATTTACGTGCCCACTAATTTTCTCCAGCTTGAGGTAACATAGTTTCAACATGTTGTCACAATTTTGTGAATCAGATTCCTATATGCCATTTGATTGATAAGTTGTTTCACTTTCACATAAACTTGTGATTTGATTCTTATTATGCCATTTGATTGATTAGTTGTCTCACTTTCACATAAACTGTAGAGTTTCCTGTAGATTTATCACTCTCCACCTAAATGTTTAAATGCATATTTCGAGCATTGATCTGTCTTTTCATATCTCGAGTACCAAAGAGAAAAATAAATAAATATGTAAATATATTTTCTGTTCATTCTTGTTACCATCATAGTAGGCTGTGCTCTTGGAATGCTTTGAGAGGCAGCTGTAGATGTCAGTGTTCTGCCACTTGCTTTGCAACATGACATGTAAATAAATTGTGCATCAAAGCTGGAAATTTTGATTCATATTGGTGTATAAATGAGGTTATCATATGAGTTTGACAGTTTGGAGTTCAATTGGTTGATGAGTTGGATAGGTGCTTCTGTTTGAAATCATCTATTTTGTAATTTTTGTTTTTCACTACTAAAGTTCATAGATGAGTTACATCTATAATATGTGTAATGTCTCATTTATTTGTGGATTATTTGAGAATATTATTATTATTATTATTATTATTATTATTATTATTATTATTATTATTGTGATATTATTTATATTTATTTTCTCTTGAATGTCATAATATTATTAAAAATCCTTAAATGTGATTAAATGCTAATTGTCTAATTTATTTTTGTGATTAATTATTAAATGAGAAAAATGTGTATTAATATATGTGAAATATATTTATAGTTCGATTTATTTTTATCGTGCGATCGATTGGAACTGTCGAAATTAGTATTCGGAGAACCTGAGCCCGAGAGCTGGATTTATTTTTCGTGTGATTGAACCGGGCCTGAGCCGAATGTATTTCGTGCGATTTTATCGAGCCCGAGAATGTTCGCGTGAATCGTAATCGAACCCGAAAATTTTTGTTGGAACCGAAATTGGGCCCGAGAATGTCCGTTTGGAACGAAATCGAGCCCGAGTATTCCTGCGTGTTCAAATCGGCCCGTGACCCAAAACCCGGTTCATGTATTGTGTGAATGTGTGTATGTTTTATAAACATTCAATTTTTCTCTCTCCAATCACATATACATCTTGTATGTATATGTTATTTCACGTGAATCACCTTCTTCCCATCTTCCAGCTCCATATGATTTGATCCGAGAATCTCTCCCTACTCATGTGTTGTTCTTCTTATTAATCTAATTTTGGATCCAATCTCATATCTCAAATCTCTCCTCTTGTCATCATCGTCCCTCATCATTTTTTTTCTCATCACCATCTTCACCGCCATCATCATCCCCGCCACTCAGCTTTTTCCGGCGAAGTGGAACTCACCGGCGAGCCTTCACCACCAGCACGTCGCGGCCATGGCAGCGTTCTCCTCCCCGGCGAGCCCTCTCCGTCCGCGACCAGCTGCAACTCCGACGAGCTCTTCTTCCTCCGACGAACCCAGCAGCATTTCCGGCGAGCCTCCTCCGCATCGACAGCAGCAACTCCGGTGACTTCCAGCACTACGAGCTCTCTTCCTTGCGAGACGAAGCTTGCCGTCGAGCAACCGTCATTAATCGCGAGCTCACCGTTCGTCTCTTTTCGTTTCATTTTTCCGAGTTCCGTTCGGCCGAGCCGTCGTCCGGCCCGTTTTTCCTCCGTTAGCTCGTGAATTTTCGAGAGTGGGTAACTATTTCGAACCCTCTCGTTATTCCGGTCGTATTCGTATATTACATGATAGATATATATGTATATCATACGTGTTTCCGAATTCTTGTTTGAAGTCGGATTTATTTCGAATGTTTACCGGCTCGTATATGTCGTTTCGTTTATTGAATTATGCTCGTAACCTTAGTTAAATCGAGTATCATGTTGAACCTCAATATGCTCGTTTATTTGCTGTCGAGAAAGTATATTGACCGTCGTCGAGTTTCGAAACATCCGTTTTTATTCGTTGGTATTTTATGTGAAAATACGTTTTTCGCTGATCTGTTGTGCCGCATTTTAAGCTATCGGAGACTGGTTATTTGAAAATGTGGTCTTCACATGAAATGTAGTATGTTCAGTTTTCTAAACCTGGGTTTTGGAATTTCTCGATTTCGAGCTATATCGATAAAGTTATGATTTTTACAAAAATGTTGCGCGTTCAGTTTTCCTGCTACTCGGCAGCATATCTGTAATTAATGTGTGACCTGTTTATCATGTCGTAATGTGCTCGTATGAACTTACACTCTTCATAGAAGTTATAGATATATTTCTTGCCTTTCAAATGAGATAGATTTCTTGTCGATACGTGCTCTGTAGCTCGAGTTATGATTTTATGAAGATAGATATGCATGAGTTAGGAATAATACTGTTGGCAGAAACATGGATATGAATGTTAACAGCTTTTTGACCATTCAAATGAGCTCATATGTTTCTGTGTTCTAAATGAAAGTTGTAGAAAAATTTCTAATGTTTAATTTGAGACTTGAACCATGTCATTTGAAGGTCTGTAGCTCGGTCTAGGTTGTAAAAACTAAAGTGCTGTCCATATCACATGTTAATTCTTGACAGATTTGCTGAACCAAATGTTTTGTGTTTAAACTCATTTCAAATGTATTTATTTTCCAAAGTGACCTTCATCAAAGTTGTAGACATTTGAGTTAGCTATCATGTAGTTTTTGAATTTCATTAAAATCATGTCTGTAGCTCCAGTTAGAGAGTAATTACTGAGGGCTGGTCAAGTGCATTACCCCAGTTTTGGACTGTAACTCATTTTTTTATGTTTGTTGATTTATCACCTTTTAAATGACCTCATTTGCCTTCAGTGTCTTCATAAGAATTGTAGATTTATCTCTTAAGATTACAATGCAATTTGATTGATGTTCATACGAGTTGTGTGATGAAAATTATGTCGATTCTAAAAACGCTGCCGGGTTGACTTTTTCAAAACTTATGTGATATTTATGAAATGTGTTTTCCTTGATCTAATGCATGCTTGAATGCTTACGTGGTCTTAGTTGAGCTAAGTAAATTATTGAATAGTCTTTGATAAGACTATTTTAATAAATGTAGGTGTTTGACGAGTCGACCTCGCCGACTACTATTCTTGTGTATTTGATTCGATCGCTACCAGGTGGGTACATTTATGATGTATTCCATAATTATCGCATTTCCTTATTTCGTGTAATATTTCTTTGAAAATTATTGTATGCATGAGAACTCTAGTCTAAGTGTCCCGAACGATAGTGCCTTTGACGAATGCATAACAGTGAGAGGTCACCTGCCCGTTGTATCCGGGAGGCGACGCCCTGATCCGTGTGAGTTTCGGGGGGGAAAAACATCTCCACTGTCTCCTGGAAAACATCCATGATCCGTGAGTAGTTCGGGGTGGACTCCCATGATCCGTGAGTGGTTCGGGGTGGGGGAAATTTTCCAGTTACGGCCTTGCCGATGTTTGGTCGGAAGGTTGTTGTATGTACATAGGAGGTTTGCGATAGGGCCGGGTAGGGGGTTTAGGCTATGAATTCTATGCATACGGATATTGATATTGGTTTATTATGAAACTGCTTTCTAAATAATTATACGAGATAACCGTGCGATAATGGTGAGCTAGTTGGTTGCTCACCCCCATTATTTTCTTGTTGTCTTCTCTATTCCTTTGTTTTAGGATGAGACTAGCTGGAGGCGGTGGCGTAGGACGAGCGAGATGGTGGTCATATGTGTTGATAAACCTATGCTTCCGTACTTTAATATTTATTTACTTGCCTTGGATTATTTACTGGTTTCACTTTTCGAACTATGTTAGATCATTTGTTTAACTTTGAATAATGATGCTTCCGTTTTAATTATTTTTGACATGTTGGTTAGACCTTGGATTTTCCGTTGAAGTATTTAAATATGCATAACTAGGTTTGAAGATTATGAATAATTGGAATTTCATTTTGAACTGTTAAATTTTATCTGTGTAAATGTGTATTTGTTTTAGTTGTTTAAGTATCGCCCGTTGAGTGTTAAAGTTTTAATTGGGATTTTGCGAAAAATAAACTCTGATTTTTATAAATAAATTCGGTAAATTCTTTAAAATAAAACGGGGCGTTACAATATGATTCTTAGAAGAATTGAATTGCGGTCAAGTGATTCCAAAAATATGAAGGTCAACCTATCTAATGGTGACCCCATCTCTCAGTTGAAACTTCAAAGAAACTTTTGAAATTTGACAATAAATCAACATTGCAAATTCAAATGGAAGGATGAAAATTCATAAACAAAATTTTGAACTTGTCCCGAGAATTCCTTCCACCATAGTTGTAGTCTGCAGCAAAACAAACTTAAATGTAAAGATGCTTGATTTTAGTAAGGCTAAGAACACTTCACCCTTCTTTTCCAGAAAACCAAATATAAATAACACCTGGTTCCCAAAGTATTGCATAACTTGGAATTTTGATTCCCACGATGCAATATTTTCGCCCCGTAATCGCAGAAACTATCCGAGACAAAATTTCAGATGAATTCTGGAAATCGAAAATACTCAACAGATACTAAAGCGTCTCCATATTCATGACGAATAATCAGAGTCCAATAATATAAATTTTCGATACGGTCTGTACCAATAGGAGCAACTGCTATTTTTAACTGTACAATAATCAGACCACAAATATATCAGTTTGATCAAATGTTCCATAGAATAGAAACCATATACAAACTGGGCACCCTTTCTCAACAACGGATGAGGTTTAGCCAAACAAAGTACAACACATATAGATACCATTCCGAATCAAAAGTATCTAAATAATTCGTTCTGTCAGAGGAAATCTGCCCCCTTTTCTAATCTCCTCCTCTTCCAATCTGAGATTTTCAGACAACATAAATACGATCAAACACTGCTCCTTTTCCCGTCTTTGCTGTAAGTCCCAGTTGGCCTAGCAAAAATGTGCTTCATTGCCTTCACCCCTAGCAAAAAACTTCCCGGCATAGATGTTGCAGACGGGATACTCATGCGGACAACAACTGTAATGATCCTCACAGCAAGTTGCCCCTTCCAACGGGCAACAGCCCCACGCAAAGCAATACCCGTAATATTCATACACACAGCAGCACGTGTTTCCTTCTGAGCACTCATAATACTCTGATACAGAAGGCGGGGCCACAGGAGAAGGAGGAGATGGGCCTGGGTTTAGCGGGTTCTGGCCCGTCTTGATCGGGTATGAGGGCTCAACCGCTATCCCACAAAGTTTAAACTATTTGCTGGATAACCTATTTCTTTTACTTTGGCAGGATAGGATGAGATAACATTCTTTAACTAATTTTATGTTGTGTTTACTAGCAGGGATCGGGATTGAGATAAATCCTACGTGTCATGTATGTGAGAGGACTGGCAGGATAACTCTATCACGTCTTGAGGATGAAATATTTTTATCCCAACACAAAATTTACCTTTTTGTCCAAAAAATCACATGTATAATGTCTATTATACCCTTGAATGTCCAAATAATTACAGATTTAGTAAAGCTGACTCATGGGATATAACTATCCTATATCCCTTCAAGTGTAAAATGGCTTTTAGATGCAATTAAGGGTACTTACTGATTCATAGAGTTGAAAGTCCCTGCCACCAGTTTCGATGGCAACAGCCACCGGCTGGTTAGCAACGGCCTTCTGAAGGGCTTTCTCGTCATACGGAGGCACATCCTCATACCCATCAATCGACACAACATTAGCATTTTTTTGCAAATTAAACAATAATATATATATAAAAAAAAAATATAAAATTTTTGGCTAACCCTGTATTGGTCACATCTGCCGTCTCTACATCAATGCCGCCGTTTTTAATGATGAAATCGAAAGCATAGTCCATGAGACCACCATTGCACCCTTCATTGTACGATTTGTCACAATCCACGAGCTCTTGCTCGGAAAGTGAGATCAAGTCACCAGTCACTATTTGGTTTATGCCTTCCACAGCTGCAATTGCCGAGAATGCCCAGCAACTCCCTTTACAAAATTTCAATAGTTTCATTAACTTGTTATATAGGCACGTCACAGATAAGTTTGTAAAGCATATCAAGAACTCAGGTAGCCTCAAAACTACAAATATATCCACTCTTCTTTGTAAAGCTGGCAACATAATTCATTCATAAATTAACTAGACATCAATGTTGGTAATTTAATTATCAATGATTATTGGGTTTTGTGAGTGATTTTATAATTATCTTCATTTTTTAAGATCTATGGGCTAAACTTTTGTGAATTGTTTTATGTTGCTTGATACATGTTATATAGTTGTTTGTTATATTGGGGTTTTTTTTCTTAAGCATTCAAATTAAGAAGAACATAAAAGAGAGAATAGAGAAAATTCATGAAAAATGAAGAGAGAAGGAAAAAAGAAATTTCGAACTTTTGAAATTATTTTATGTCTATCCTGAATCCTCTTTTAAAAACTGTTAGCAATTATCACCATTTTAAAAATTATTTTCCTTCCTCTGTTAATTAACTCCTATTAATTCAAAACCAAGCGGTTACAAAATCTTGTCTTTCTGGAATTGTATTAAGACGGTTTCTTTTATGGAAAGATTTTTTCAATCTTGGACAGTTAAGAATTTTTGCCCCAGTTAAGAATTTTCGCCCCATTTAAACAGCAACAAAATAATGGCGATGTGGATGCCCTAATGTTTAATTGCCCAGTTCATTTCAAGATGACCCGTATTGAACCATATATGTATGTATATAAAACAGATCCGTTGGTCTGACACTCAACTCCAACGCATTCCTCGCTACAAACGTTAGTAGTTCTTCATCTGCCAATTCAACTGCATTCAAGGTTCTATGCGAAATTCATTTGCTGATTCCTTTTCCGTGTTCTGTTGCTTTTGTTCGTAAGTTTTGTTGTTAAAACGCATCTATTTTGATTCGCATTTCTGCTTGTTTGCTCCTGATTCATTCTAATTTCTGCTTGAGAGTTGAGCCGCTTGTGCAGGTCTATGCAATATATAATTGTAAGTTTATGGAATGGGCATGCAGTTGATTTGTTCCTGGGAGACAATTTTCTGCAGAAATTGTGTGGATATGTGAATGAATGTATGGTTTCTAAAGTTCCTGTATGCTAATTANGAGAGAGAGAGAGAGAGTTATAGAACTTTATCATGTGGAAATTAAAAGTTGCGGAGGGATCAAACCCATGGTTGCGTTCAGTAAATGGACACGTGGGCCGCCAAATATGGGAGTTTGATCCGGATCTGGGTTCTCCTGAAGACCTGGCTGAAATCGAGAAGCTTCGCGAGGAATTTCACAGTCATCGATTTGAACAGAAGCATTCTTCTGATCTTCTCATGAGACATCAGGTTTAGTGAAACACTTATTTAGCTTCATTCCTTGCAAGATGCCGTGTGTGACGCAATAGATTTATTGCCACTTCTGTCATTGTTTATTTAAGCTCATGGTGATTGGTCTTTGTGACCTTAACATGCATACCTTGTGATTCTGGACTCAGTTTGTGTGAGTAATTACACGAGGTATATCTTATTTATTAGATGCTGTTTTCACAACTAATTGGTTCTTAACTATGGGTTGGGATTTGGGATCAGGAATAGCGTAAATGCACATTTTGCATAAAAGGATCAACTTGCGAAACATTGTCAAATTTATTGATTATGTTTTCTTCTTTCACTAGTTCTTTATATAATCCCTTATACAGACAACCTAAAACAAACTTTTACGAGCATCTATATTTGCTAGTGTTACATCTATTAGTACGTATTCTTTTGATGAAGTGGACAGAGTTTGATTGGTGGGGATGGGAAGGTTTTAGTTTTGTAGGTTCTCAGGAACATTTTGATGCATTGTTGAGTTTGTTGTAACTGATCTCCCTTTTGTTGAACAGTCAGTTCTGTATGGTCCGGCACAAGTCAAGAATTTAGGCAGATTTTCCATTTTAAGAAGTCAAACGCAATTCATAGGTTTGTTTGAAGTTTTAAGAATTGACCTGTTTTTTGGAACGAAACAATAGAAGGGTCTAATATTGGTTCTTAGTAATGGAAAAGGTAATTTTTTTCTGTTTCATCATTTAGGAAATTTGTTAGTCTAGAGTTCATGATTCATAATGGTCTTTGAGAAACTTTTAACAATTACGTGCTACTGAAAAGCCATAACAAGCCAAAGTTAGAATTGTTTAGTTTTAATTATGTAAAGCTAAGGTCATCGTCATTGGCTTTATGCCAATGTAAATTATTACATATGGCTAAATGGTTGCCCTATAGTTTGGGGCCATTTTGTTTCTTCATACTTTCCACTTGAAAGAGCATGCTTCTCTATTTAAATTGTATATTTCTTCTGTCAAGGTTGTGTACAATTTTGGTACATATATTGGTACATATATTTGTTATGTATGTTAATGTAAAGAATGCCTGATGAAACTAAGAAAAATCGGTATAAGGTTTCAGTGATTTACTTTGTAATGTCTGAAGTTTGAGACTTGAGTGATTGTTGAATCTCAATTTGACTTTTGATAGCCATTTTTTTGGTTTATTAACACCTTGTGGAATTTTGTTGTTTACTTTTTGTTTCGATTTATTTTGTATGTTAGTTCTCAAGGGATAATCCGAGCAACACAAATTTTCCCCAAGTAAAAGTAAAAGATTTGGAGGATGTTACTGAAGATAAAGTAGTCAATACTTTGAGGATGGCCATCCGTTTCTATTCAACTCTGCAGGCCCATGATGGTCATTGGCCAGGCGACTATGGAGGCCCTATGTTTCTTATGCCTGGCTTGGTGAGTGTTGATTATTATGTTTTTATTATTTATTTATCTATTTATTCGGACTAAACTTGAATCTAGATGTCTGGAGGGAAGGCTGAAAACAGTTAACTTATTTATACTCATTTACTATTTTCCAGTTTGTATTTGAAACTTAAATTTCTACAACATGCTGAAGGATATAAATATTGTAATAATCCAATTCCTTCATAAATTATATCTGTATGCGTCACCTCTATCTAAATAAAAGATTTGGTTTTGGGAGATTTCCCAACTGAATTCAAGAATTTGATGAACTCTTAGTATATCTGATGGTATATTTGGTTAACTTGCTATATATTTGTGTTTTCGTGCATGTTACTGAAGTTGTCACCTATATAGAAGGCATCCAATAACGGGAATTCTGACAAATCTTCTCGCATCAGTCATTGTTTTTCAACCTCACCTTTCCTCGTTTTCGTACCATTTTATGGAACAGGTTATTACATTATCAATTACTGGGGCATTAAATGCAATACTTTCGAAGGAGCACAAGCGTGAGATTTGCCGCTATCTCTACAATCATCAGGTGAAAGACTAAATCTGGAATACATATTGATGGTGACTTCTCGAGTGAATAAAAAACATATACTATTTATTTAGTTGAGTTCTATACATGCATTTGAGGAATGAAACATTTCAAAATTATCTGCACTTTATCTTTGTCTATATATTTGCGCTTTAAACATGTTCTCAACTGGCTATTTAACAGAACAGAGACGGTGGATGGGGTCTGCACATTGAGGGGCCAAGCACCATGTTTGGTTCTGTTCTGACCTACGTTACTTTGAGATTGCTTGGTGAAGGACCAAATGATGGAGACGGATCAATGGAGAAAGGTCGAGACTGGATTTTGAATCATGGTGGTGCTACTGCAATAACATCTTGGGGAAAGATGTGGCTTTCGGTTAGAAACTCATTCTCATTTGTTTTTTCATGTGATTTCTCCAATGGAATAATTTGCTTTAACAACTTCTCTTTTTCTTCTCATATGATTTAGGTGTTGGGGGCCTTTGAATGGTCTGGAAACAATCCTTTGCCACCCGAAATTTGGCTTCTTCCATATATTCTTCCATTCCATCCAGGTAGTTATATGCGAGTTAGTAATAATTTTACATCTTTTATGTTTTTCTTGTTTCGAGAGTTATTGTAATACTTATATTAGCCCATGCATTTTAAAGTTAAAACAAATTATTTAATGAAAACTGGTTAGTTCTGCGTATCTGAACTCCTTTGTTGATCCTGAGAAGATCAATGTGTAATTACATATTTTTTCCTTGTTAGTACAGATGCATCTACTGATTTTACCCTCGTAGGCTAGTTCTTACCCTGCGCTTGGTGGTATTAAGTTGATCACTATTCATGCATAATGTGAATTGACATTTTCTCAAGGCCTTTTAAAGTTAAGTAGAGATTCTTAGGCCGACAGAGATAATGAGGGACTGTTGTAGCAGGTTTATTAATATTTATAAGTCAACTACGCGGTGTATGCTTTTTTTAAATCTAATTATATAATCCATAGTTTAAAGAATTTGCAATTTTTTACCTTATGCATTATACCTCTCTGTTAATTGTAGATTGGAAAGTCAAAACGTAGCTCTTATAAGATCTCATTGTTATTTTAAAGAAGCATATTCTCATCTGTGACTAGCCTTTCTAATTTAGTGTCCCAATTATATGATGCCACATGTGTTTTGAGGTTTTACCTGATTTAACAGGAAGTATTTCTTTTTCTCTATAATGCGGTCAGAATGGTGNTTTTGCTTGAGAAACAGAAGTTACAATCTCATTAATTTTGCAGGAAGGATGTGGTGTCATTGTCGAATGGTTTATCTCCCCATGTCCTATTTGTATGGGAAAAGGTTTGTTGGTCCAATCACCCCCACAATTGTGTCTCTAAGGAAGGAACTCTTTACAGTTCCATACCATGAAATAGACTGGAATAAAGCTCGCAACGAGTGTGCAAAGGTTGGCACTAATCATATATTTGTTCCCACAAACAGTTCTCATTCTGTAATCTGAACCATAAGCAAAACAATTTGAATAGGGTACTGTTTATAGGTTGCATGATAGTTGCTCTATTTATCTGTTTCCCTAGATATTACTTGCGCTTTGTTGTTTGTTGATGAACCTCTTTTGCCTCTCTTCTATGTAGGAAGATCTATACTACCCGCACCCTGTTGTACAAGATATACTTTGGGCATCTCTTCACAAGGTTGTGGAACCTATTATGTTGAATTGGCCAGGGAAGAAGTTGAGAGAGAGAGCTCTTAATACTGTTATGGAGCATATACATTATGAGGATGAAAACACTCGTTACATATGCATTGGCCCCGTAAACAAGGTATGCTTCACACACATCATTAGCAGTCGTGAGAAATGGTACATGTGTTACAAAAAGTGAAGCAACACATATGAAATTTATAATAATGTTTCTACCACAAACAACTGTTGGTTTTCACAATGGCGGTGACACGTTACGTCAATGTTTCCATAGCTCTTTTCTCATTTTGAAGGATAATGTGTTCGTAGAGGGCCCCTCATATTTTTCCTTCTTGTTTCTTAAGTT